TTGAGAGCCTCGTTTGGGCCTCTTGGGCCTCGTGGGGCTTCTTGGGGGGCTCTTAGTGGCCTCTGGGGGCTTCCCAGGCGCTTCTTGGGGCTGAGAGCTCGAAAATGTTTGTTGTTCGGGTTCCCCCCCTGGGCGCCCCCCCCTTGAGGCCATCCTGGGGCCGTCTTGGAGGCCTCTTGGGCCGTCTGAGGGACATCTTGGGCCATTTGAGGGCCCTCTTGGAGGCTTTTCGTGCCGCTTTGAAGCGATACTCTGGCCTCTTGGACCGTCCAGGGCGGTCGGCAGCTCGAAAAAGCTGTACCACCAAAATCGCCAGAAAGCCTTAGCAAAATCAATGATTGTTGCGTTTTCGGGGCCTTCTGAATTCCTCTTGGAACCCTCCTGGAGCGTCTTGGGCGTTTCCTGGACCGTCTTGGTACCAATGTGTGCCATCTTGGAAAACTCTTGACCTGAGGCCGTGGGGCGCGCCACCCCTTTTGAGGCGCTCGGGGAGGCCCCGAGGTCGCGACCAGGAGTTCGGACATCTCTGATCCGAACTTGCCCGAACCTTGCCAGGATATGTTTCGCCCGCGGACCCCCATGGGCCGCCGCGCGCGCGCGCGAACTCGAGACATTCTTGAGTTCTTACTGGAGATTTTAGCACGCCCCCGGCCCGTGGGGCCAGCGAACTTGGACCCCCCTGGGGGGAGGTCACGACCCCGGGACCCCCGCCCCCTGGGACCCCCCGGGCGACCCCGCCGTCGACCCCCCCCTCCCCGGCAGGGAAGCGATGAAAGGGAAGGGGCTTCCCTATGAGTGAGCTACGACGTTGCTAGATTTATGCCTGGCTCGATCGTTGGAGGAGGAGGAGGAGGAGGAGGAGGAGGAGGAGGAGGGCCCAGGGAAAGGGGGGGAGCGGCGAGGGCGACGACGACGACGACGACTCAAAGGGATGATTGTTTCACGCACGCCGACAGGGTCGGCGGGCCTGCCTTCGCTGCGCGTGGGACAGAAGCGGGTGGCAAGTGCGAGGCCTCCGACAGGGGTGCCAGCCCTTGCCCCCTGGTTGAGGGGCCCGGGGGCGCCAGCATTGCTAGAATCGCACTTCTTCAGGCCGCCATCCGAAGCGCGACGCTTTTTACAGTCGACGTCGGTCCCCAGGGCGCAGAGTCGCTGGAAGGACAATTAGCAATTGATGGCAAGGATGGGTAGCATTCCCAAGGGTACCCTTGTATCCGTGCCTCTTTGGGCACCTTGACTACTTTCGATGGCGCGCCGCGCTCGAAAAAGCTTCAACACGGGCGTACAAGGGGCTTGCATCCTTATCGAGCATCCTTGCTACCAGTTTTGATTGTATCAGGAGGAGTCCTTTTTCCCTGTGTGAGCGCAGGATCTCTGATGACAATCCCCCCCCTCCCCGTCTCACGACGACGACGACGACGACGACGACGACGACGACGAGGGACCCATCCCTGGCGGCGACAGGTAGCAACTGAGCAGGTGGCGAAGCTCGGAGGGTGCGGCGCGGAGCCAAGCGGCCCTCTCTCGCACGGCAGCCTCGCCGCCGTCGTCTTCGCCGCGTATCCTCTACATGATTATATGTCTGTCGCCTCCTTGTGAGGAATCTATCTGGGAGAAGTACCGGCTCTGTCCCGACAGTGCTGCGTCCAGGAGCCTGGTATACCCCTTGAATTCCGTCTTTAGCGTCGACTCGCGTCGATGGGCGTCTGGGCGTCGATGAGATAGCGCCGATTTAGCGTCGGCTAACGTCGATTTGCGTCGATGTAGCGTCGATGTAGCGTCGACTAGCGTCGACTCGCAAGAGCCGACACGATGGTATGGGAGACTCCCAAAAGTTGCCACCGTGCACGTCCGGAGCACGTAGCGACTGGGCGTCGGGTGGTTTGCTTTGCGGGTCTGCGTCGCTGGTCTGCCGTGTCGTCTTCAAGAGGGACGGCGGATGCGCCCCCACCCTTTCAGCGCCAGACTTGGATACATTGAACACGTTGCGTTATACATCCGCAGGAAACGCTGCTGCTTAACACGTCACTTCTGGACATGGATTCCTTTCGCTTGGCGGGGTGCTCGTCAGGACCACGTACAGTCCAGCTGTGGGACCTTTTTGGAGCCTCTTGGGGCCTTTTTGAGGGTCTCTTGGGGGCTTCTTGTGGCCGCCAGGGGGCTTCTTCGGGGCCTCTTGGGGGCATCTTGGTTCTTCTGGGGGGCGCTCTCGCGCGGTGTAGCTCCTGCGGAGGCCGTCTTGGTGGCCTCGGGGCCGCCTTGAGGCTCTCTGGGGGTCCTCTTGGGCCGTATTGGCGGCCTCTTGGACGGTCAGGGCCCCCTGAGAGTCGACAAAGGCGAGAACGCTTAAATCTTTGAAAAACCATACGACAATCAATCAGTGTAGCTCCGCCTCCTCCTCCTCCTCCTCTTCCGCGTCGTCCTCTTACTGTGGTTCGGACCGGGACGGGGAGCTAAATCACTGTCATCGTGAGGGGGGGAGCCAGCCACGAAGCGATTCGTCCCTTTGTGTTGCTTGAGTCTTTTTTTTCGTTTTAATTTCTTCCCTCCCCCTTTTTATGTCATGTACGTCGTTGTTTCCTCGTGTCAGTGGCCTCAAGTCGCTGGGGATCCTTTTCGTCGTTGGAGCCCCCTTTCGTCGTGGAGTTCCTTTTCGTGGTGTGAGTCCCTTTTCGTCGTGCGAGTCCCTTTTCGTCACTGGAGTTCCTTTTCGTCGCGGAGTCACTTTTCGCCGTGGAGTCCCTTTTCGTTGCTTCGGTCCCTTCTCGTCGTTGGAGTCCGTTTTCGTCGTGGAGTCCCTTTTCGTCGTGTGAGTCCCTTTTCGTCGTGTGAGTCCCTTTTCGTCGTTGGAGTCCTCTTTCGCCGTTGGAGTCCCTCGCGTCGTCGCGGGAGTTCCTTTTCGTCATTTGAGTTCTTTTTCGTCGTGGTCATTGTGTGGCCTTTTGGAGGCTTCTTTGGGGCTTCTTGGAAGTTTCTTGGGGGTTTTCTCGAGACCGGGGGCCTCTTGGGGGCCTCCTGGAGGCCTCTTGGGGTTTCTTTGATCCTCCTGGGTGTTTCTTTGGGGTCCCTCCCCCTTCCCTCCTTTTCATCATCCCTGCCTTTCCTCCTTTCAAGCGCCGGCTCTAATCATGGGCGCCGCCGTGACAAATTTCCACTTGGCTGGCGCTGCACCGCGGTTCGCCCAGAGGGAAAAAACGACATTACCGTCCAGTCGTTGTGTGGCCTGTTGGAGGTTTCTGTGAGGCCTCTTGGAAGCTTCTTGTGGGTTTTTTGGAGGCCTCTTGGGGCCTTCTTGGGGCCTCTTGGGGGCCTCTTGGGGGCCTCTTGGGGTCTCTTGGGGGCGTGTTCGGCTGTTTTGCGGCGCGTTTGCGCCGTTTCGCCACTTGGGAGGCCCTTTTGGAGGCATCTCGCGGCCGCCTTGGGTCTCTCTTGGGGTCCTCTTGGGCCGTTTGGGGGGCCTCTTGGACCGTCTTGGGGGCCTCTTTGGGGCGTTTTGGGGCCTTCTTGGGTCGTTTTGAGACCCTCGTCGGAGCCTCTGGGACTTTTTACGGGGCCATTTTGGAAGCTATTTGGGCCGTCATGGGCCTCTGAGAGTCCAAAAACGGCAAAAACGCTAAAAGCATTAGAAAAACCATAGGACAATTTATGATTTGGGCTTCTGGAGGCGCAGTTGTGGGCGTTCGTGGGGCCCTCTTGGGCCATCCTCGGGGTTTCGTGGGCTCTCTTGGGGCAATGTCGGGCCGTCTTGGGACCGTCTTGGCCCTCTCAGAGGCCATCTAGGGCCGTCTGGACGCCTTCGTGGGGCCCCAAGAGGGCGACGGGGCCCAAATCACAGATTTTCCGTAGGTTTTGGTTGGATTTTGTAGGTTTTTGAGGCGCAGGAGTGACGGGCCTTTTTGGGTCGGCGGAACTAGTGTGGCCCCTGGGGGGGTTAGGGGGGGTACATAATAATGTAACACGATACAAAATGTGGCAATTATGCAATCATTGGATACATCGGATACGTTGCATTATAGCCTCCGCGGACCTGCCTCCGGCAACACGTCACCTCCGGACGTGGATTCCTCTCGGTTCGCGGGGTGCACGTCCAGAGCACGTACAGTCACGTCGTCGCGGGGCCTCTTGGGAGCCTCCTGGGGGCCTCCTGGAGGCCTCTTGGGAGTTTCTTTGGGCCTTTGGGGGGCTTCTTTGGGGCCTCCCCCCCCTCCTTTTCATACTCTCTCCCCATCTTCCCTTCCGGCGCCGGCTCTAATCATGGGCGCCGCCGCGACCAACTTCCACCTGGCTGGCGCTGCGCCGCAGTTCGCCCAGGGAGGGAAAAATAAAAATACATTCCAGTCGTTGTGTGGCTTTGTGGGGGTTTCTGTGAGGCCTCTTGGAAGCTTCTTGGGGACTTCTTGGAGGCCTCTTGAGCCCCTTGGGTGCCTCTTGGGGCCTCTCGTGGCCTCTTGGGGGCGTCTTGGGCCGTCTTGGGGCGCTTTTGCGCCGTTCCGCCCCTTCGGAGGCCGTTTGGGGGGCCTCTCGCGGCCGCCTTGGGGTTCTCTTGGGGTCCTCTTGCGCCGTCTCAGGGTTTTTGTTTGGACCGCCTTGGGGGCCTCTTTGGGCCGTCTTGGGACCCTCCTGGGCCGTTTGGGGGCTCTTTTGGAGGTTTCTTTAGCCTTTTTGGGACAATTTTGGTGGCTGCCTGGGCGGCCATGGGCTTCTAAGAGTCGAGAAACGCGAGAACGCTGAAATCAACAAAAAACGATGGGGAAATTAATGAGATTGGCTTCTGGAGACACTCTTGGGGGTCGTCCGGGGGCCCTCTTGGGACGTCTTAGGAGTTTCTTGGAACCTTTTGGGGCCATCATGGACCGTCTTGGAGCCGTCTTCGCCCGTCTTGAAGCCATATGGAGCCGTCTTGAGGCCCCATTAGGCCTCCCAGAGGGCTCAAAGTCCCGAATCATCGATTTTACATAGGTTTCGGCACGCTGTTGAGCCCCAAAATGGGGGTCTCCATCTTGGGTCCACGGATGTGGCGTAGACCCTGGGGGGTTAGGGGGGGAGACATAATAACGTAACGCAATACAATATGTGGCAATGGTGCAACAATTGGAGGGGCATGTGGAGGTGGAGGAGGAGGAGGGGATGGAGGAGGAGGGGGAGGAGGAGGAGGAGGAGGAGGAGGAGGAGGAGGAGGAGGAGGAAAAAGCGGAGGAGGAAAAGTGAGGGTCTGGTTTGCGGGCGTAAGCTTAGGACTCCGGAGGCCGTTCGGGACGATCCCGGCACCCCCAGAACGCATGGTCTCACCTTGGATCTGGAGGCAGTGTGCAGCGGGTACCCACACCGCGAACGGAGTTGTGGGTTTGAGGCCACTCGGATGGCCTATAGGGTCTCGTGGGAGGGCACTTGGGGGCGTGTTGGAATGAGTTTGGGGGCTCCGATGGGTTTCTTGGAGGTCTTAGGGGCATTTTTGGGGATCTCTTGGGATCCCCGGGGGGGGCCCTTGGGGCTTCTTGGGTGTTTCTTGGGACAACCTGGGGGCGTCGTGGGGCCGAAGGGTCGAAATTTCCGGTCGGATTCCGCTTCTGGGCCCTTTCTGGGGGCCGTCCTGTCTTTGCCCGTGGCTTTCTTGAGCCGTCCTGGAGCCCTCGTGTAGGCTTCCCGGCCCGTCTGGGACGAGGCGAATCTGCTAAAGATTCACGGCTTCCGAAAGGAATGGACCGATTTGGGCGTCTGCCAGCCCTCTGGGGGAGCCTGTAGGAGGCCTCTTAGGGCGGTTTGGAATGGAATGATATTTCGGCGAGTCGGGGCCCTCTTGGACCGTCGGGGGGGCCTCTCCCGAGGCCTCAGGGCCCTTTGTTCTTGCGCCGGTGCCTCTCGGGCAGTCTGCGCGCCTCTCGCGCCGATTGCCTGGAGGAGGCCCCATACGTTCAGGCAGAGCAAGCAGCGGCGGCAACGCAATCCTCTTTCCTTACACCCCCCATGAAGGACCACAAGGACCAGATGGCGGCCTCAAGACGGCTCAGTATAAAACCCCTTGGTCCCGCTACATCTCTGTTTGGTGCCCGTGTCCTACGCATGTCGATTGTCTTTTCGAGAACGCATGCGCTGCTGCAGGGGTTATGAGAACAAACAACAACACGTTCCCTACTGTTCCTGTACATCCCATGTGCCCCACCTTCGCCATGGAGCGGAATGCGATGAGCTCGTTCGTCGTGGACCAGTGGAGGGGCTGCCTTCGCGCTCCACAGGGAGCCCGGGGAGGGCCGGACCCCCCGGATGAGTTCGGCGGGGTGTCGTCCCGGGCCCGGGGGAGGGGGTCAAATTGCTGGCTTGGGGTCCCCAGGAGGGGGATTACGGGGGGAACAGTCTCACACGCCTAGAGATCCACACGGGGTCGGCGGATTTCATTGGGGGTTCGCGCAAATTGGGGCGCTCATGCGCGTGAAAGACGAAAACGGAAACGTTGTCAAAAGGCTTTCTCTTGACGGCCTGAGTCAGCGAAAGCGTTGTCAGTAG